TCCTGATGCTATTCCAGAGTGATTCTACTATATTAGCACAAAGGAAGAGTGAAAGAAGGTTGGGTGAGAGGCCCTGGGGGGGTTGGGCACTGAGTCTGGTCCCAGACAAGCCAGTTTCTGGTGCAGGTTCCACATGGGGAATTTCCATGTCAGCGAGAACTTCACTGGGCGTGGGATAGGCACTTACAGAAATGGATCTTACATGGTGAAATGGGAGAGCCAAAGGAAGTACAAGGTCGATAACCACTAACCACCTTCAGAAAGGGAGCCCATAGAAAGCCAGTATCCTTGTGGAAATCAGGAGACAGGATTGCAGGAGGGTTTGTAGAGGAGCTTCCCAGGGTCTAGGTGTGTTTGGGCACCTACTTGGGCTGTCTTCCATTCCTTTTCTTCCTGGAGTGGAAATGGAGAATCCAGTGGCCTCTGGCTGCCCAGAGCACCTTCCCTACTGCCAGCCTTTATGACTGAGCGCTGGAATTCTTCCATTCTAGTTCATGCCTCCCCCAGTGCTAACCACAGCCAGTAGAGAGGGGAAAGGCAGGTGGCCAAAGTCAGTCCAGCTCCTCCTAAGACATCTCGAGAACACATTCAGTCAGTTCTCCAACACCAACATCTTGATCAGAACTCTGGGATGTGTTTTTCCTCCTAGAATCTCAGACCCTGTTCTTCGGTTCTTTCTCTCCTTGTCCCACTCGCTGGAAATGTGAGTTTGGACCCAGTCAGTGAAAGTAGGCCACAGGATATACTGGAGTGTCGATCGTCAGTGCTGATCAGCTTTCAGAAGATAATTCAGGAGACACAGAGCAAGGATTGGATCCTTAGAAGAGATGTCACATACAGTCACAAGAGAAAACACAGGCAAGGCTCAGGGGAGCAAAGTTCATGCATGCTCGTGTCTGAGAGAGGTAGCCTCCCGGCAGAGTGGTCATGAGGGAAGGAGTAGAATCGGCAGCCATGAGGAAGCGCTCAGCAAGGGAGAATCCATGTGCTGGTTTGTGGCTCTAAGGGTGGAACTTACAATCCAAATTCATCCAGGGATGTGATCGGCGTCTCCGTGTTACTCTGAGCTCCACCCTAGGAGGTCAAGGAAAGAAGCTTGTGGCAGGGAGCAATCTAAGCACACTGGTGCCCCTGGCTACCAGGGAGGGGACTCTGTCTTCATAAAGCAGTGATGTGCAGACATTTGCTTTTCAAAGTGCATCTGCTGTGCATTGTGCTGGGTCTTAGTGGAGACATCAAGCTAGAATTCTTTCTGTTCAATAGGTGAAAAGTCTGTAATGGCTACCAGACACAAAGGCAAAGATACATGCATACATTACATAAGTGAAGAACAGAGAATTTAAGTTTGTTGTGTTGTATTACTCTTCTATTAGCTACTGAACTTGGTAGTTCTCACATTGATATGTCAAGGTTGTAACTCTGAGAATGTGACTGTACTTATATAGAGAATCTTTAAAAAGATGATTAAGGATGAGTGTTAATCCCATATCACTGATGTCATAAGAAGAGGAGATACAGGCATGCAAAACAGGAAGATAAAAAAGGAGTTCAGGTAGTTTAAGCCAAGGAGACACTCCTCTGAGCAATCCAGACTAGCTGATTACCTTCATCTTGGACAACCAGCCCCCAGAATCAATTCCCTTACTTAAGCCACCTACTAGGGGGTACTTTATGGAAGCCCCTGAGTTCCTTAGTGATTGTAATAAGTATCCACCATACACAGGGATGTGTGTGGTGAGCAGTGGACCAAATCAGGTCTTTTGGCTTAGGCCAGTCTGTGTGGTAAATGCCCTTGGCAATCAGCAGACAGAAACATGTAGCAGTTGAACCCACAGTACAGAAATGCATTCTCAGAGTGGTTTCTGGTTGGATTTTTTAATACCAAAAACATTCTCTTCCTGGTATGCTCTAAATTATTTCCCACTCACTAAAGCTGTCTTGAGGATATCACAAGAAAATCAGATAGGATAATGCTTGGGAACTGTGATAGATATTGAAGGATGCTGGAAGAGCTCTTTGGGGTTCTAGACCACATCTGCACATACGCTTAGCTGAGATGATGTCTGGTAATGCCTCTCTAACTAGGCTCTGATGGGTGGGGAGAAGGTCTATGTTTTGGTTTTCAAAACAGCACAAATACGGAGGTAGAGCCCACAGCCTATTGTGAATGGAATTGTCCTTATTTCTCTCTCAGCCCTGTCCATCACTGGTGTGTAGAAAAGCTACTGCTGTTTCAGTGTTGATTGTATGTCCTGTGATACTGCAGAAACTGTTTATCAGACCTAGGAGTTTGGGGTGGAATCTTTAGTCTTTATAGGATCAAGCTCTCTACAAATAGCAATGATTTGGTTTCTTGTTTCTCTATTCCAATCACTTTCACTTACTTTTCTTGCCTTAGCCGCTCAGGCAATGGAGATCAGAAGACTGTGGTCCATAGCCAGCCCAGGCAGAAAAGTCTGGGAGACTCTTAATTTCATTTAACCATCAAAAGCCAGAAAGGATGCTGTGGCTAACGTGATGGAATGCTAGCTTTGAGCACAAATGCTCAGGGACAGTGCCCAGGTCCTCAGTTAAAGCTCCATGACTGGCACAACAAAAAAATCTCAGACTCAATGCTTCCTCGCCTTAGCAATGGGATTCCCTCCTGTCTTTGAAAACTAGAACACCCACACCTTCAGATGCCACCCGCCTCTCATGGTGCCTCTCAGAGCATTTCCTGCTAGGACTTAACTCCTCTGAAGACATCTGGAACAAATGTCAGGAGTGTCACCCTACCTGTCTCTCTGCTGCCTGGCTCCACAAGAAGGGCCAAGCCCCCTCCTCCTTCCTGCCAGACATCTCCAGAAGCTTCTGCTGGTGTCTAAGCCACTGTAGTGCTGCACAGTATATACTTCTCTGTGGCGCCCTACAGGACAAGCTTCCTATTCTTTGACTCTAGACAAGATGTCACATGACTCCTTGAGCCATAATTATTCCTAACTCCAGGTCCCAAGGATAAGTTTGTCTCTAACAATAGAGACTCTCTCAACATGGCATCAAATAAATGCACTCTGAGAGAAGGGAAATGCCCATTGTCACCAAGGCTAATCTACCATGCTAGAGCAGCTACTGCCTCATAAATCCCGGGACTGGGATTAAGGGTTGCAAGATGGGTGGGGTTTTCCCTCAATGAGAATTGGCAATTGGTCCCAATCCTGTTTATTTTACCTAGTAATGGAGTGTTTGTGTAACCACCTACTTCAGGGGAGCCAGAGATGGACTTGGAACATGGCTTTTCTACCACTGGATTTGTTTGTCTGTGGTTTTATACTTCCCACCACTAATGACTCTGTGGCTCTGAATTTTTTTCTTCTCTTTCTGGTTTCAAAATGTGCTCTTCTGTATTCCAGGAGATTTATTTATTTGTTGGTGGTGTTGGTGTTGGTGGTCATGGGTCTTGAACTCAGGGCTTAAGTGCTGCCCCTGACGTTTTTTTTGTTATTGTTCAAGGCTAGTTCTCTACCACTCTGAGCCACAACTCCACTTCCAGTTTTTTGGAGGTTGATTGATGATAACTGTCTCATGGACTGTCCTGTCCTACTGGCGTTGGACTACAATCCTCAGATCTCAGCCTTCTGAGTAATGAGGATTACAGGCAAAAGCCACCAGCACCTGGCTTGGAGATTTTTTATTCACAGAGTAAAATGATACACGTTTTTAAACCACCAACTTGTCCCCTTCCTTCTACTAGAGACCGAAATATGCTGTCTATTTTTCTTTGGTGGCTTGTCTCTTCATTATGGAAGGTGGAGAGTATTCACAACTGAGGCGCCAAAAAGCAGTTCTGTTTTAAGGTACCCAAGTTCTCAGGGCTCTATCTTGTCATTTTCATCCTGAGCTCCCTTGTTTTCCAGGCTAGTTACACAATCTAGGAATGCTCAGGTATGGGCTTTGGGGAAGTAATTTAGATTCGTTTTAAAGAGACCTCTTCACAGTTGGTTCTATTTGTGGTTTTCATGTCTCATTAAAATCTTTACTATCTTTAAGTAGTTGTACAAAGGAGGTGCCACATAACAAGGCAGTTTATGAATACAATGCACGCTGATCAGTGTTACTCTCTTCAATGTTCTCCACCCACCCCTTCCCTTACTTTTCTTAATTCTGTGGTATATGCAATACGTTCTTGACTGCATTCTCCTCCCTTCATTCCCTTCCTCCCTTGGTCCCATGTCCCACCTCCCCCTCTTAATTTAGAGATTTTTATCCAGAAGGTTCTGACCACACTGATGAATTAATCCTCCCTCCTCTCTCTCTATTTTCCCTAAATACCAAGAAGTTACCATCTTTGCTCCACCATGGGTCCCCCAACATGCTGTTCTGCTTCAACATCACCCAAACAAGAAAGTCTGAACACCACAGACAAAGATGATCTCTGAAACTGTGAGCCAGCCAAGCGTTTCTAATCAGAGGATCATCTCTCAGGTAGTCCAGCACAGCAATGAAAGCTGACTATGACATGCAACTACCACTAGCGAAACTCCCTCAGGAAAGCTGACTCCGCTGGTTAGTGGAGACACCCATAGCATGGCCTGGGTCTTGTGCCTACAGTGTGAGGAAAAGAGGGGCCTCCTGGCTGCTCCCAGGGCTGCTGGCCTACTCGGCTACCACCGCTTCCCACCAAAGACTGGTCAAGACAGATTGCTGAGCATGGGGGACATGGTCACGCCAAAGGAAAGGCAAAGAGAACTTTTCAGTCATCAACGAGCATTTATTGGAGATTCAAAACAAGTGAGGACAAAGAGGAAGAGGGGAAGATACAGAACGAAGAGCAGAGGAACGGGAAGGAACGGGTGGTACCCATGGAAAGGAACGTGGAACTGTGACCTGCCGCAGCGATGCGGACGTCTTAGGAGCTGGCTTGAAAAGACAGGAATATCACACACAAACCAAAGTCAGGCCAAGAGTATACATTCCAGAAGTCTATACGTCTCTAGGAGAGAAGTAGGAGGGCAAGGGCAAAGTCATTGTCTGACACCAGAGAGAAGCAACCTCCTAGCACAGCATTTCTTCTGGCAGCAGCACTTCTGCTGACAGCAGCACTTGCCACAGCCACAGCCACAACCACCACAGCCACATGAGTTGCAGCAACTATGGCGACAGCAGTAGATGATGGGGGAGCAGCAGTCACAGCAGCGACGGCAGCAGCCACAGCAGCCACAGCATCTACCACCACAGCCACCACAGCCACCACAGCCACAGCCACAGCCACAGCCACAGCCACCACAGCCACAGCCACCACAGCCACAGCCACCACAGCCACAGCCACCACAACCTCCACAGCCACAGCCACCACAGCCACAGCCACCACAGCCACAGCCACCACAGCCACAGCCACAGCCACCACAGCCACCACAGCCACAGCCACAGCCACCCATGTTGTTCGTAGAGAAGACTCAGGTGAGGTGAGCTGAGAACTGAGGACTCGGCAGATGAGTGGAGGTCTGATTCCCCTGTCTGCTGGGACCGGAAGGTGGGTCAGGTGACCACTTCCTTGTTGTCATCAGGCCTGCTGCCCAGTCAGGAGTCTCACCAGCTCCTATTTACTTCCTGATCTAAACGTGTTTGCTGTCTTGTTTTTCCATTGCTTTACTCTTTTCCTAAAAACTATGAACACAAAACGCGTCCAATGCCTAGGAAGCACCACAGTAGGCAGGGACAGACTGGCTGTCAGTGGAATGGGCAGCCTTCGCTGTCTCCCCCAGTGCCCATAACCTGGGGTTGATGTGAGCCATGGGTGAGCCGTGGGTGGGGCTCACAGACCTCAGGCAACCCCTGGGCACAGATGCAACTGGGCTTTGGAGATGTCACTATGTGGAGTTGAGGCTCAGTCCCTCCTCCAGAGAGCCTGCCATACAAAGTCACACTGCAGACTAGGGATGCAAACCTAGGATCACATTCTAAGGTCGCACTCAAGGGCACACCTCACCATGGCTCTGTGGAGCGGTGGGATCTGCAGGGGCTGGAGTCTTACTCCCTGCCTCTTCAACACACTGTGATTGGTCTTCTGTACAACCAGGCCTTGGTGACTGTTTTAAAACCAGAAATCAATCCTTCTAGATGCTCATATCACAGTGATGTTTTTCTGGGTGTTTTGCTGTGGAAACAATTCACCTTTATTTCCCTTCATGGGGTAATAGTAAGCTGTGTGTGATAGGTAAGTAGCTGCTAAGCAGCTTGACTGGACTTTCTAAAGAACAAGTTACTTGGGCTCATTCATTCACTCATTCATTCATTATTTTTATTTCTATGCCCAGGGCTTGGGCACTGTCCCTGAGCTTCTTTGTTCAAGGTTAGCTCTCTGCCACTTGAGCCACACATCCAATTCCAGGATTTTTGGTGGTTAACTGAAGATAAGAGTCTAACAAATGTTCCTGCCTGGGATGGCTTCAAACTGACATCTCAGAAGCTCTCCTTCCTGAATAGCTAGGAATACAGACGTGAGCCACCAGCACCCAGATACTTGGGTTCTTTTTAATTAGCTACCTGGATGAGGTGGCATGCTAGACTTTTAATAGAGAGCTTAATGTGTTATGAAAGAAGACCAATATTACAAGAACATTTCTTGAAATAAGGATCAGATCATGTGAACTCACACATTTACGTCTGTGTACTGATATGAAACATACCAGGACTAAAAAGACATGACCATTCTTTTTTTTTTTTTTTAATTTTATTTTATTTTATTTTATTTGAAAACATACTGTACAGAGGGGTTACAATTACATGGGCAGGATAATGCATACATTTCTTACCAAGCATTGCAGCCTCCTCCTTTGTTTACCCTTCACCTCCCTTCCCAGCCTCCCCCTCCCCCCCACCCAATCATACCCCCCCTCCCTCCCCCCCACCGACATTTTAAAGCTGGTTTTGACATGACATTTTGTACTTCTCATTGTTGCAACAGGTCCACCTGAATCCTTAAACGACTTGTTTGTCCCCGTCTCCTCCACATGTTATACTGACATCAAATATAGTGAAAGTGGGGGTTACACTGTGGGGGAGGGACATACAAAGCAACAAAGAAATAATATTATAAATGCGTTAGAAACACATGCATGAATGAAACAAAAACATTAAAATACATATTTGAGGGTTCGTTTTCCTAACATCACATTCTCTGACTTTTTCCGCTTGACTCATACCTATACTAGATATTGCAAATAAGGGAAACCATGGGACCTATGTTTCTTTGGGCCTGGCTTACTTCACTTAATATAATTTTTTCCAAGCCTTTCCATTTCCTAACAAATGGGGCAATGTCATTCTTTCTGATGGAGGCATAGAATTCCATTGTGTATATATACCACATCTTCTTGATCCATTCATCTACTGAGGGGCATCTGGGTTGGTTCCATATCTTAGCTATGGTAAATAATGCTGCAATAAACATAGTTGTGCTGGTAGCTTTAGTATGGCCTTGTTTGTGGTCATTTGGGTAAATGCCCAAAAGTGGGATTGCTGGGTCATTGGGGAGCTCTATATGGAGTCTTTTGAGGAACCTCCATACTGCTTTCCAAAGTGGTTGAACAAGTTTACATTCCCACCAACAATGAAGTAAGGTTCCTTTCTGTCCACATCCCCTCCAGCATCTGTTGTTGTTAGAGTTCTTGATTTTTGCTGTTCTAACTGGAGTGAGGTGATATCTCAATGTTGTTTTGATTTGCATTTCTTTTATGGCTAGGGATGTTGAACATTTCTTCATGTGTCTATTGGCCATCCTTCTTTCTTCTTCAGAGAAGCTTCTCTTTAGGTCTTTCGCCCACTTACTTATTGGGCAGTTGTTTCTTTGAGGATTTGTTGTTGGGGGGTTTAATTTTTTGAGTTCCAAGTATATTTTAGATATGAGACCCTTGTCCGTTGTATGGCTAGTAAAGATCTTCTCCCAATCCGTGGGCTTTCTATTGATCTTGCTAGCTATGTCATTTGCCCTGCAGAAGCTCTGCAACCTTATACAATCCCATTTGTCCAACCTTTCTTTGATTTGTTGTGTTTCCGGGTCTCTATTCAGAAAATTTCGACCTGAGCCAAGGAGACCCAGGGTTTCTCCTATTCCATCCTGTAATGTTTTCAGAGTGTCTGCTTTGAGTTCAAGGTCTTTGATCCATTTGGAGTTGATTCTGGTGCAGGGTGATATATAAGGATCTAGCTTTAGTTTTCTACATGTAGTTAACCAGTTTTGCCAGCACCATTTACTGAAGAGGCTGTCTGTCTTCCATTCTATTGTTTTAGCTCCCTTATCGAAGATTAGATGGCTATAGGTCTGTAGGTTCATTTCTGGGTTTTCAATTCTATTCCATTGGTCCTGAGGTCTGTTCTTATGCCAATACCAAGCTGTTTTGATTACTATGGCTTTATAGTAGAGTTTGAAATTTGGTATTGATATTCCTCCAGCAGTGTTCTTTCCGTTGAGGAGCGTTTTTGCTATTCGGGGTCTTTTATTGTTCCATATGAATTTTTGGATTGCCTCTTCTATTTCCTTGAAGAATGAGGGTGGAATTTTGATAGGTATTGCGTTGAATTTGTAGATAGCCTTGGGAAGTATTGCCATTTTCACAATGTTAATCTTTCCAATCCAGGAGCATGGGAGGTTTTGCCATTTTTTAAGTTCTGTGTTGATTTCCTTTTTCAAGATTTTAAAGTTTTCATCATAGAGGTCCTTCACTTCTTTAGTTAAGTTAATTCCTAGGTATTTTATTTTTTGTGGGGCTATTACAAATGGAGTTGCTTTCCTAATTTCAGCCACACTTTTCTCATTGTTGGCATACAGAAAAGCCATGGATTTTGGGGGGTTAATTTTATAACCTGCTACTTTGCCAAAGTTTTGAATCAGCTTAAGTAATTTGGGAGTGGAGTCTATGGGATTCTTTAAATACAAGATCATGTCATCTGCAAAGAGGGAGAGTTTTATTTCTTCTTTCCCTATTTGGATCCCCTTTATGTCTGCATCTTGTCTTATTGCTGTAGCTAGGCATTCTAACACTAGATTGAAGAGAAGTGGAGAGAGTGGGCATCCTTGTCTTGTTCCTGAGTTAAGAGGAAATGGCTTTAGTTTTTCACCATTGAGTATAATGCTGGCTGTAGGTTTGTCATATACAGCCTTTATTGTACTGAGGAATGTTCCATGGATTCCTAATTTTTCCAAAACCTTCATCATAAAGGGGTGTTGGATCTTGTCGAATGCTTTTTCTGCGTCTATTGAGATAACCATGTGGTTCTTATTCTTGCTCCTGTTGATGTGATGAATAATATTAATTGATTTGCATATATTGAACCAGCTTTGCATCCCTGAAATGAATCCTGTTGGATCGTGGATTTTTTGGATGAATTGTTGAAGTCGGTTGGCCAAAATTTTGTTGAGAAGTTTTGCATCAATGTTCATCAAAGAAATGGGTCTATAGTTCTCTTTCTTTGATGAGTCCCTGCCTGGTTTTGGGATGAGGGTTATGATGGCTTCATAGAATGTGTTCGGTAGTGAGCTTTCTCTTTCAATTTCATTGAAGAGTTGGAGGAGAATTGGTGTGAGCTCTGCTTTGAAGGCCTTGTAAAATTCCGCTGTAAAACCATCTGGTCCTGGACTTTTCTTAGCTGGGAGGTCTCTTATTGCTGTTTCTATTTCAATGCTTGATATGGGCCTGTTAAGATAGTTTAACTCATCTTGGTTTAGTTTTGGCATGTCAATATTTGCTAGGAAGAGGTCCATTTCTGTCAAGTTCTCAAACTTATTAGCATACAGTTTTGAGAAGTATTCCCTTATAATGTTCTGAATCTTGGTTGTTTCCGTGGTGATGTTTCCATTCTCATCTCTGAGTTTATTAATTTGGGTGTGTTCTCTTCTTTTTCTGATAAGATTTGCTAAGGGTCTGTCAATTTTGTTAAGTTTTTCGAAGAACCAACTCTTTGTTTTGTTGATTCTTTCTATAGTTTTTTTGGATTCTAATTCATTTAATTCTGATTTAATTTTGATTATTTCTTTCCGTCTACTGGATTGGGGTTTATCTTGCTGCTCTTTTTCAAGGAGGTTTAGATGCGTCATTAAATTGCTAGTTTCAGATCTCTCCAATTTGTTGATGTAGGAGCTCAGAGCTATAAACTTGCCTCTGAGTACTGCCTTTGCTGTGTCCCAGAGGAGCTGGTAATTTGTGTGTTCATTTTTGTTGAATAGCATGAACATTTGAATTTCCTTTCTAATCTCTTCCATGACCCACTCATGATTCAGCAGTGTGTTGTTCAGCCTCCATGTGATACCAGACTTTCTTTGGTGGCTTTTGGTGTTGAGTTC